GTGGTTTGTGTCCCCCTTGTCCAATCACGTGCCCCAATCCAGCAATTTCTGCCATAACCGTTGCATATATATATTTTTGCCGCCATAGTTGTTGTGCACAATAACCATAAAGAATCAAATATTTTTGCTAGGTCGGAACACATATTTCGAGTGTTCGAATGGTGTTACGCGTCCTTGGAGTTTATTTTCCTTGGTGTTTCATATTATCCCTTAAGTTGTTATCGTATAATTAGAAAATTTGCTCTTTGGAATATATTTAAGTAACTCTACATAATTGGAGCACCACTTTCTTGTTTTCAATTTTGCTGACCCAAGGATCTTACAACTTTTTTTCTCTTTGCTTCTTCTAGCGTGTCAGCTCCGGATCATGTGCATAGAGGTCCTGTTAAATGGCTGACGCGCCTAGTTGCTGCCCTGCCGGTGCTATTTGTGCTAAATGTTGCAAGCATTTTTTTGCCAGGTAGGGTGCACGTTCTTGCTCTTACCCCTTCACATAGTTGATTAAAGTTTGCAAAAAAGTTTATTCAAAAACTAAAACTCTTTTGGTTGAGTTCTACTTTGCAAAACGATCTCAGTTTCCTTAAAAAAATTTCAAACGACATGATCTCACATCATGATCTTTCGCCGCTTTTATTAATGGTAACCTACTGCCGTGGTCAAAAATGCCAGCATTGTTCCTTAAGTGCCGGCTGTTGCGGCTTATCGCCAACAAATTTTTGCCAAAAGTTGCAAGAACATTTTTATGAAATAATAATATTTTTTTTTTTAATGTCGGCCAAGGTCCATGTCGGGAACATAGCAACAATGCCTTACAGCTTACTGCAATTTAAGCAAGAGAGATCGTTCGACTATTCGAGTTCTTCGACTATTAGGTTACCCGTTACTCAGCTTACCAACTTGAAAATAAATATACTTTTAACATTTTACGTACTTTACATTTTTTTATATATATATATTACGCTTTCCATTATTATCTACTGGCTAATGCCGAATTAAAGTTGCGCTGCGCAAGAATCTTTGGAACCTGCGTGCTTTATCCAGAAATGCTAGCTTTTATAGTTGCCAAAATCACAGCGTTCAAACGGACGGACAGACGGACTCGGGTAGTGTTCCCTATCAAGAATATATATATATTTTATGGTAACGGGTACAGCCTGTGCCGTACCACAGCGGTTGCCACACTCACATCGTAGAGCTGCCCCGTTCAAATTACTCACACAAACAAGAAACAAAATGTCAATGTTCGACAATGTTAACGAATTCACGACCGAAATGAAATGAAGAATACTAATTGATTACAAATTAGATAACCATTTCGAATTCGCAATGATCATTAATTTTTAATTTTTGAACGATAATAATAATTATTTCTGAGTTTTATAAATATTCCTGCAGTTCCACAATATAATATATAAGCGCCCAATCATCACGAAGCCGACTGCGACGTCGGCAGAGCAGCCAGCGACGCCGGCAGAGCTGAGCACAACGGCGGCAAAGCGACGCGCTCTCAGTCGGGGTCAGCAAAGAGAATGCACAATAACCCTGCAAGCAAAAGGGCGATATTTCTATCGCCTGTCGTCCAGGAGTCACTTCTTAGTAACTTCTGCGCGATAGAAAGATGATAGTACACATTTTACAAAAACAAAATATACACGTGTCGCGTAGAAGTAACTTTTTACTTTTTACAAAAACAAAAAGGGTCGCGATGGCGAAGAAGTAACTTCTGAGACACTTCTGCGCGAGAAAACGGCGATAGAACACATTTTACAAAAACAAAATATACATATAACGCGTAGAAGTAACTTCTAAGTCACTTCTGAACGATAGAAAGGCGATAGTACACATTTTACAAAAACAAAAAGGGTCGGGATCGCGAAAAAGTAACTTCTGAGACACTTCTGCGCGATAGAAAGACGATAGTACACATTTTACAAAAACAAAATTAATGGAAAAAAACAAGCCATAAAAATACGTCGCGGTAATTTTTCGTTACCCCTTTTTTTCTGAAAATTTTTTGGTTCCTTTTGACCTACGCTATTATTTTTCGTCCGAGCGTCATTTCGTTGCGCAATTTGTCTGTGTACAGTGCAATTTTGTATCAATTTTGTGCGTTTTAAAAATATTGCTTTGTTTTTTCTAAATGTTATTGATTGCTTAACATATTTAAATATCCCCCTCAACAAAGGGTGCGAAATAACGTGCTTATCGTGAGCTGTACGATTATTTAAAGCTATTTACGGACAAGCTAGCTGTGGACATTACTTGGCGTGTAACTGCGGATCCAACGATTCTCAACATACTTCATTGTAAAAGGTAATGTCTTCTAGTTTATTCTTACCTTGACTGAACCAAAAATAATTTTTGTTTCTGTTTCCTTTAGAAATGGTTATTAATAAAATTCTTATGTCGACGGAGCTGGACCTAAATAACATTGATCAGCAAAATTTCCTACATGCCAGTGACCGTGTATACAAGCGGACAAAGCCCTTATACACAAAATAAATGCAAAATATTGAAAGTATAAAATACTATGTTTTTATTAAGTTTTTCCAATTGGGAAAGACTCTTCTAGATATCTTCTACAAGCAAATGTAAAGTCACTTCGGAGTGACTTCCAGAAGTGACTACGGCGACACTTTTAGAAGTTACTTCGGCGATATCGCATTCGGATCGCGGAGGTGACTCCCGTCGGGAAGAAATGTGCCAATTCGGCGGCACTTCTATGAGTGACTTCGGCGACACTTCCAGAAGTTACTTCGGCGATATCGCATTCGGATCGCGGAAGTGACTCCCGTCGGGACGAAATGTGCCACTTCGGCGGCACTTCTCGGAGTAACTTCGGCGACACTTCCAGAAGTGACTTCGGCGACACTTCCAGAAGTAACGCAGAAGTGACTTCGAGAAGTGTCGCCGAAGTGGCACATTTCTTCCCGAAGGGAGACACTTCCGCGATCCGAATGCGATATCGCGGACGATCGTTTTCATCTTCTAGAAGTCACTTAATAGTGCCTTCCGCGATAGAAAATGCTTGCAGGGAAGTACTTTTGGGCTCTCCCTCTCCCATTTCTCAGCTGGAAAAATGCGGGTGAAGGCAAGGAGGCCCAGCCATTAAAATATCTCGACTTTCATGCACCCTTGCCTTTTGAGTAATGCGACATTTTTCGTAAATGTTAAAACAACCAATTAAAATAATAGGTTTGGGATTTAAAATATTTGTACTTCTTAAAAAAAATGTATATGTTTATTAATATTATTTATTAATATGTGAAGTTTTAAAAATATATATTTGTATTTACGATTTGCATAGTCGGTTTTATAGACATAATAAATACCCTGCTTTTATGAGCAAGGTGCATAGACCAAACGGGACATGCCAAAAAAACCAAGCAACAACGGAATAGCGGAACCGTTGTTGTTGTTGCTTGTAGTTTTTCTGGAAAACACGCGCCTTTTTTCGTCTTTTTCACTTGCGTTTACTTATGTGAAGGAGTTAGAATTAGCCGCGATTAACGTAGTTAAACGAAATAAACCAGTGGTTTAAAAGTGAAACCTATACGATTCGCAGGGAAGTCTGTCGCAAGCCAATATTTTTGTAAGCAGTGAGAGTAAAAATAAGTTAATGTATATTAAAACAAAGGATAATGTAAGACTCCCAAAAAGTAGCTGTGAAAAATATTAATTTTTGACGTGAAAATCAACAAATGATGCATACTCGTATATGTAAATAAACAAATAAATGAATCTGTGAAAGAATTGTAAAATCTTATTGAGTGCATAGATCAAAAATAAGAGAACTTTGTTTTTAAAAATTATGTTTGTGGTTAAAATTCGTTAAAAAATGAATATTAATAACATTAAACCACAGCTTATACTTTTATGTACGTTAGCAAACATGGCTATTTAAATAAAAGTCTCAACTTTTAGTCCCTGGAAAAGTGTTAGTTTTCCCGCAAATGCAAAATAAAAAAAATTAATATGTAATACAAAGATATATAAATAATGTGTGGTATGTTTTTCTTTATAATTTTTTACAAAAAAAAATATGAAATCGAGTGACCGAAAACAAAAATTTCTGAATTTCTTCTCTTGTTTTCTAAAATTTAGGCTTAAGTTTATTTGTAAGTTTAATTTTTAAAAGACTTCTGTGATTTTCTTTTAATGCCAAAGATAACATTTTCTTTATTATAAATAAAACTTACAAATAACGATTACTTTCGGTCACTCGTTTTTATTCTCGTCTCGTTCTATTTCAAAACTAATTTTTCTTCTAATACTAGATGCAATCGCTCTGGTGGAGCCCTCGGAGCCTCCCAAAAAGGCGCTGCAGAAGGCAATGCGGTGCGTGAAGAATTTGAGCTGCACCAAAAAAAAGGCAACGCCGGCCCCAGATGCTGGCGAGGAGGTGCCAACGACTCCGTTAGGACCGGGAACCCCCGACCCAACATTTTAAAATAAAGATCTAAATAAATAAAAAAAATATATATAGAAATTAAATAAAGCTGTAAATATATTTGCTGATACGCGATGAAAAGGTGCCTAACATGTGCTTTATTGCTGCTTAAACGAGCGCTCAACGTGTGCTGGACGTGTGCTTTTTCTGCTGCTTAAACGAGCGTTCAACGTGCTCTAGTTTTTGAGCACTGATGAACCCTAGGACAAGCCTATGTTAATTTAAGCTCTCATTTTCATAGAAATTGTGCGCTCATTGAGCGCTCAGTGATTGAGTACTCAATAAGCGCTGAATGGTACTGCAGGGTGAACACGACAAAACGGAATTGGGACAACCAGAACAAAACAGAACAGAAAAAAAAAACGGTTTCGCTCTGATCGCAAGCGAGCTCATTCAAGAACCCATAGATCGGTTGCTCTCTGAGTCTTTTAGTAAAGAGTCGAGAAACGGTCGACAGTTATTTGCGAGCTCTGGTGGAAACTTAACAAAAAAGTTCGCCTTCAATGGCTGAGATTCATGGGTAGTCCCATAAATATAAAGAAACAGATATACGAGTATATATAAAGTAAGTGTGAGGCTGGAGGTTTAACCATCCGCACATGCATTTCAAACATGGTGCAATATCAATCAATTAAATTTAATTGGCTCTAAGTGCAATGTAATCACCTTTTTTCGTGTCAGTACACCAAGTGGTCTTTTGTTAGATAGGGTAACGCATGTGGACGACCTTGGTGTCTTACATTGTCTACCATGGTTAATTAGGATTCGTTCATAATAATAGCATAAACTAACTAAATGTAGCTGGGTCGCGTAGAATGGAATTTTTCAATATAAAAAACGGAAGTCGTTTGAACCCAACATTTTAGTTTTTTTACTACGTCCAGTCTCAAAAATTTGAATACAGCAACATGCTGAAGGCAACTGAGGGCCGCGCGTTCTACAGGCTGGAGAATGTAGTGGTGCGCGTGTATAAAGGAGACGCCAGAAGTCGGCTCCTAAAGACAGGGGTAGCCCTGGAAACGGTATGCCCATCATCGTCAGTGGGGTAGCACGCCATCCAATTTCCACGCCCAATTTAACGACCACAAACTTAATAAATCGCAAATATGAAAGATGACATCTCGGAAACTATCATAGAAAGAGAGCTGGGATTTCAGATTTAGATTCCGTACCCTTGTACGCAACGCCAGTTTGTCACGCCAATATGCCACACCCACTCTAACGCCCATAAACCGCTAGTAATGCTAGTAAAAAATGTTTAACGCCCATAACGCTTAAATCTGACTGCCGCCCACATAACCATAAATTGAGATCGCGGTTAGGTGGCGCATTATAATCTCGCTTTCCTGCTTCCATATCTCCATCTCCCTTTGGTCCCTTTAGCTGAGTAACGGGTGAAAATAGCCACAAATGGTAATGACCTCATTTATATGGAATCGACAACATCGGCAGGGACAGAGGCAGCGATGGAGCAACGCGCTGTTATAAATAGCAATTGGTAAACCTAAGTAAAGTTAGTTTTAATCCAACTCAATAAAAAAGTTTGATTTTTTTAACAAAAATGTAAACCATCTTTTAACTTATATAAGTTATAGGGTCGGAAACGCTGTCTTTTACCTGTTATACACTTTCCGACAAATATTTTACTCTACGAGTAACGGGTATACAAATCGGACTACTATATCATGTATCTGCCATAGGAACACCTTGTCCCTTTTTAAGAAACTGTTCTTAAAAGTGGTAGGAAGGATTTTAACACCATTTTGCCATCTTAAAATTATTATAATAAATTTAAATAATTTAAAAAAATGTACAATTTTTAATTCCGCGGATTTAACACTAAATTAACCAATAATATATATTTGCCTCTTTCTTTCTCTTCGCCGTAATCCCTATACCCCATTTCGTTTACTCCATTTCACCTCCTTTGCAATATTACACCATTGTCCCTGTGCCTAGTCGTTATTATCATTCTTTTTAAAACGATTTAAATTATTATTATTTATGGACATGTCTGAGGAAAACCCGTTAGCTACGTATACATTTCTTTTCAATTGATTTAAGCATTTTGAATCACTTAGCAGCTAAATAAATTTGTTTGTAAATTAAAATCAATTTTTTCCGATTGGAAAATGATGATTAAATAAAAAATAGATTTTAATCGGAATCAAACCACTTTTTCCGTTAAAAAAAAAAAAACCACAAATACACACTCGCAAGAAGTAAACGAATTCGTATTTCATATTTTCGTATTGTATTTTAACGATTGAGATTAATGAAGTGCTCAAAGCAAAGAAGACGTACACCTGTATTTGGCGATCTGACATCTCTATCAGCTGAAGAAAAAACAAGAGAAATTGCTTTAGTTTATGGCCTCCACTGTTAGATACCCTTCACTCAGCTTAAGGGAGTGCGACAGGGTTGGAGATATGCTCGATTGATTGCAAAATATTGATTATTCTTTGGTTATATTTCAATAATTTTGGGCATGTAGGTAGATATTTGAAAGTGTGGGCTCTAGACGGGTTTTAGTGTTGTAGTCGTTTGAATCTGCATGCAAAGTCCCAACATTCTAGCTCTTATAGTTTCCGAGATCTCAGCGTTCTGACAGACGGACGTAGCTAGATCGACTCGGCTAGTGATGCTGATCAAGAATATATATACTTTAAAGGGTAGGAAATACTTCCTTCTTCCTGTTACAGACTTTCCGACGAATTTAGAATACCCTTTTACTCTACGAGTATGAATTCGGTCCACTTTTTATTTTACGCATTTAAGATATGAAACTTTTTAGTAATTTTGTTGAATTTTTTTAAAAAACAAACTTTTTTTGGTTCAATCGATAGGTATTGAAGAGACCAATACATTTCAGTTACAATTTTTTATCTAGCGCAAATATATATATATATATTGTGGGCGCCACAGTTTTGGGCGGTTTGTGGGCGTAAGAGTTGGCGTGGCACATTGCTGAAACAAACTTGGCCTGCGCAAGAAGCTATGGAATCTGCATGCCTAATCCCAATTTTGTAGCTCCTACAGTTTCCGAGATCTCAGCGTTCATACGAACAGACGGTCATGGCCAGATCGGCTAGTGATCCTGATCAAGAATATATATACTTTATGGGGTCAGAAACGCTTCCTTCTGCCTGTTACATACTTTCCGACGAATCTAGTAAAGCCTATAAATACCCTGCAGTTCCACAATTGAGTTAAGCGCCCAATCATCACGAAGCCGACTGCGAAGTCGGCAGAAAAGCCAGCGACGCCGGCAGAGCTGAGCGCAACGGCGGCAAAGCGACGCGCTCTCAGTCGGGTCCGCAAAGAGAACGCACAAAAAGTAATTTTGGGCTCTCCCTCTCTCGCCATGTCTCAGACGGAAAAGTGCGTGTGATGGGAAGGAGGCCCAGCAACTAAAATATATAGACTTTTGTGCACCCTTGCCTTTTGAATAATGCGACATTTGTTCGTAAATGATAAAAGAACCATTTAAAATAAAAGGTTTCTGTTTTAAAATATTTGTATTTCTTAAACAAATTTATAGGTTTATTAATATTATTTAATAATATGTAAAGTTTTAAGAATATATTTTTATAAACCGAATTGCATAGTCGGATATGTCTATAAATACCCTGCTTTTATGTGCAAGATGCATAGACCAAACGGGACATGCCAAAAAAACAGAACAACAACGGATTAGCGGAACCGTTGTTGTTGTTGCTAAGTCTGTCGCAGACCAATATTTATTTAATCAGTGAGAGTAAAAACAAGTTAAAGTATATTGAAAAAATGGAAGATAGAAGATTCCCAAAAAAACACGTGGCGGAAAAAAAATAGCTGTGAAAAATATTAATTTTTGACGTGAAAAACAACAAACGATGCATATAAATAAACAAATGAATGAATCTGTGAAAAAATTTGAAAATCTTATTGAGTGCTAAGTTCCTAGGGACCAAAAATAAGAGATGTTTGTTTTTATAACTTATGATTTTTTGTATTAATAACATTAAAGCACAATTTTTATTTTTGTGTAAGTAAACGAACATGGCTATTTAAATAAAAGTCTCAAACATCTCTAATTTTCCGTCCCTGGAAAAGTGGTATTTTTTCCGCATCTGCAAAATAAATAAATGATTTAATAAATAATAAAAAAAATACATAAATAATTTTTTACAACAAAATAAAATAAATCAAGTGACCGAAAACAAAAGTTTGCAAATTTCTTCTCGATATTTTTTTAATTTTCTTATATTTTTAGACAAAGCTTGTGGTAAATCTATAAAAAAAAATGGAAGGCTAAGTCGTTCCATCTTAAGCATATTATCCGAGGAACTTGTTCTGTCCCACAACTTGGAGGGGGGCAAAACAAGAAGAGGCTCAGACTACCCAAATTTCGCCCGTGCCTTATTAAGTAAGTTTTTGTTGAGGCTGAAAACTATTGTTTGTAAGTTTAATTTTTAAAAGACTTCTGGGATTTTTACATTGAATGCCAAAGATAACATTTCTTTTATTATAAATAAATCTTACAAATAACGATTACTTTCGGTCACTCGATTTTATTCTCGTCTTGTTTTATTTTTAAAACTAATTTTTTTCTAATACTAGATGCAATCGCCCTGGTGGATCCCTCGGAGCCTCCCGAAAAGGCGCTGCAGAAGGCAGTGCGGTGCGTTAAAAACTTGAGTTGTACCAAAAAAAAAGGCAACGCCGGCACCAGATGCTGAGAAGGAGGTGCCAGCGACCCCGATAACACCGGAAACCCCCGAGCTCAAATTTTAAAACAAACAAAAAAAAATAAAAACAAGGAAGAACGCTATAGTCGAGTACCTCGACTATCAGATACCCGTTACTCAAAGGGAAATGGAGATATGCAAGCAGCAAAGCGAGATTAAAATGCGCCACCTACCGGCGGTAGACAGATTTAAGCGTTATGGGCGTTAGAGTGGGCGTGGCAAATTTATTTTTGGATCAATCGATAGGTATTGACGACACCAATACATTTCAGTTACAATTTTTTATCTAGCATGCAAATTGTGGGCGTCACAGGTTTTCGCGGTTTGTGGGCGTTAAAGTGGGCGTGGCAAATTTTTTTTTAGGTCAATCGATAGGTATTGATGAGAACAATACATTTCAGTTAAAATTTTCTATCTAGCATCAAAACTGTAGAAGTTACAGTTTCGGGCGGTGTGTGGGCGTTAGAGTGGGCGTGGCAGTCCGTGCAGGAATCTGCACGCCAAATTTCAATAGCCTAGCTCTTATAGTTTCCGAGATCTCAGCGTTCATCCGGACGGACAGACAGACGGTCAGACGGACATGGCTAGATCGACTCGGCTAGTGATCCTGATATATGGTTATGTGGGCGGTAGATAGATTTAGGCGTTATGGGCGTTTGAGTGGGCGTGGCAAACTTTTTAACATTTCTTTCTAGCATGAAAATTGTGGGCGCCACAGGCTTATGCGGTTTGTGGGCGCCACAGGCTTATGCGGTTTGTGGGCGTTAGAGAGGGCGTGGCAAACTTTTTTTAGATTAGTCGATAGGTATTAACAGGACAAATACATTTTAGCTAAAGTTTTTCATCTAGCATGAAAATTGAGGGCGCCACAGGTTTGTGCGGTTTGTGGGCTTTAGAGTGGGCGTTTCCGAGATCTCAGCGTTCATCCGGACAGACGGACATGTCTAAATCGACTCGGCTAGTGAAATCACCCAAAACAATCAAGAGATCCCTTCGGAGAGATGAAATAGAACAGTTTTTGTTGCAGACAAATGTTGCTCATAAATTTTTAAGTCGGAACCAGGTGGAATATAAGAACAAGTTACATAAATAGAAAAAGATTTCAAAGAAACTTTAACACCAACGAATTCTGTCAATGGGATTAAGAAAGTATATTCTCTCTGATGTTAAAGTAGAGGTAACGGCAATCAGCACACACACACACACACACCTCTGGACGCTGGACCCACGATCTCATTCCCGTCTTGAGTCCTTGGCTGAAAAGGAGACACGGGCAGGTGGACTTCTACCTGACCCAGATCCTGAGTGGGCACGGATGCTTCCGGTCGTACCTGATGAAGTACGGACACGACACGAGTGACGGATGCCCATCCTGCGGCTCTGGAATCGAGGAGAACGCACGCCACGTCCTATTCGAGTGCGTGGTTCGTAGAGGACAGGACCGCCCTGGAAATAGCGACCGGTGTCAGCACTAGCCCCAGCACGCTAGTGCCAACCATACTAAGAGGCCAAATAAAGTGGAACGCGACGACCAAATTCGCCGCGTCTGTAATGCGAAAACTCGGGATAGCTGAGAAAGAGAGGAGATGCCTGGACACATAAGCTGCCGCGGTTGTGCAAAGCATTGCTTTGCGGCCGTACCGCACAACATATGCAGCTTACGCCCATCTGTCTTCTAAATGTATATTTATTAGTTGTAGAAATAAAGTAAAAAGGAATACAAAGAAAACCACCCCCCACGAAGAGAGAGATCAGTTTAATACCAACTTCAGAGTCTAATATCTCTGGTGTCAGCCAAGTCTCAGTAAGGGCCAGAACGTCTTCAGAAAAAGCAAAGGAGTCAGCATAACATTTGATAGGCCAAAAATAAACTGCTCAGATTTTTCGCGCAGGTACTACCGCGGAAAGCCTATTATTAGTTCTCCATCTGTTGGGAACAAATTCTTTAATGACCAATTTATCATTAAGCCAAAAACTTTAAGAATTTAGTACATTATTTACTTCAGGAGAAGCAGATATTTTAAATGAAGATATCCTACAAACAAATTAAAGTCTTCCACTGTGATGTTTTGAGATGGAATTTCCTTATGTATAAATTACAAAGCTTCTGCAGATGGGATTTCAGGAATTAAGCGAGACACAAAAAATTGCTTCCTAAATAAAACAACCGAGAGTCTCTTCCATCCGCCATCAACAATCTGAACATCGTTCGTCTAATTGTCGAGAATATTGACTCCTATAGAGCTAACTTCACCTGTAGGCACAGAAAGCTCCGTGGAGTTTGGCCTCTTAGGCTGACTAGCGGGAACAGGGACTTCACCAGAGCTTTCGGTACCTATGGGTACTGCCGGCAGCGAAGAATTAGGCCCCCAGCGCCGGTGGATGCCGACATAGCTGCCGTTACCGATTGGTTAAAAATACTCGAAACTAAATTGGGACTCGGGACTGATGCCTTTACTCCCAAAGATATTAAAGAAGCTGTCTTATTGCGTTTAGGTGATTCAACTGACATTTTTTTATTATCAAGGTCGGTCTTAAACTCTTTGAAATCAGCAACTACGTTTATAAGCTTTTTTAAAAGTTTCTTAAAGCGATCAGTGGTCAGCACCACGTAGACATTCAAATCACGGTCTATTACAACGCAAGAAGCACAAGTCCACGAAAAACCAACGCGCAGATCAATCCTTTACTCTGCCAACAAGTCCAGTACATTTAGAATGTATGCAAAGTCGACAGTAAATAAAAACGTCATTAGGTGACGATACAAACTGACAAACTTTTCTTGAACAAAAGAGACCCATTTTTTTAAGTTTTTAAATTTATATATTAAAAATGTGAAAAGTTATTTATAAATTTTGAAATAAAAAAATGCAAAGAATTGTAAATACCTCACTCATTTTGACACTGGGATCAAAAAATAAAAACGTAGACACAGAAGTATAAGAGCGCATAGAGACTGCGAAAGCGAGGGAGCGCGGTACGGTAGCTATCGACTGAGCGTGGCTTGCGAAACACAAACAAAATACACACAACAGTTTTAACGAAAGGAAATGGGAAACAACAACAAACTGCACGAGCAGCATAAAGTTACAATAACAATTGCACAGGCTTAGTCTTAATTAAAAATTCATTTTTGTTAAAATTGCTATTATAAAATTAGACAATAAACACAAAAAACAAATTTAAAACTTATAGCGGTTTTAATTTTACAAACGGTATGCATGGTACACCATAATGTATCAAAAATATTAGCATTTATTTTTTGGCTTTTAATCAAACCAAAAGCGAATTTCAATAAAAACAAGAAAGGAAGTTAGCTTCGGCAAGCCGAAGCTTATATACCCTTGCAGCTATAATTATTAAATTTAAAAAAACAAAAAATTATATTCCCAATAGTATAAGATAATATGTGAAAAAACACCGAAGCTATAATTTGTTTCATATTATTTTTCCACCAATTTTACGACCGTTCCTATGGCAGCTATATGATATAGTCTTCCGATTTTGATAAAATTAAATTCGAAATTCAAAACTAAATAAAAAATGTTATTTCCAAGCTTAGGAGGTTATATGCTAAAAAACACCAAAGATATAATTTTTTTTAATTTGTTTTTCCTATTATTCCTATGGGAGCTATAAGACATAGTTGTCCGATCCGGCTGGTTCCGACTTATATACTACCTGCAAAAGATATAAGACTTTTGGGAAAGTTTCAGCCCGATAGCTTTAAAACTAAGAGACTAGTTTGCGTAGAAACGGACGGACATGGCTAGATCGACTCGTCTAGTCATGCTGATCAAGAATATATATACTTTATGGGGTCGGAAACGTCTCCTTCACTGCGTTGCAAACTTCTGACTGAAATCATTATACCCTCTGCAAGGGTATACAAATTTATCACACAAGGGAAATTGTCTTATGTTAAAGTTAGACCTATCAATTTTAACGAATTAACTTCCGAGTGAAAACTGGAACAGGTTGGTATACTTTATAGGGTCGGAAACGCTTCTTTCTGCATAGTCACATAGTTTCCAACGAATGCAAAATACCCTTTTACTTTTGCGTTTTTTATTCCGACTTTGATTAGTTTTTCTTCAATACAGTACGCAAACTAGAAGACTTTTGTTAAAAAATAATTATATTAAAAAATATTTTCGCTTCAATAATTTAACAAAATAACCAAACAAAATACACTGTTTTTATTATTTATACAGTTTACAATTTAATTTTACGTTTAAATATTTTACTTCAAAGCCCTAAAAAACAATTTGGTATTTAGACTAACTTAGAAATAGAAAATACAGTGTTCATATATTTTGCAAATCGTTTGATTTAAAGTGTATTTTTCTTGTATTCCGCAAAACATGAATTGATTTCCGTTTTGATTTGTATGTATACATAGAGATTTTTTGAATATAGTTTCTATGTTTAAGCTGTAATTATACACACAAATATTTATTTTTGAGTTTCCCTTAGCGTGAGCAAAATGCTATTAATAAATAATTATTTATAATTTTCGCATGTCTCAGGTTTGTCTTTTACAAACTTATTTGTGTTTCGGAAATTGTACTTTGATGATTTATTTTCATTTCTGTAAGCTAGTCTATATATTCCTAGGTTTTTAATAATTGTTTAGGTTGGTTTGCAACTCTTGTTTTTTTTAGTTTTGTTGAGTACAAATGTTAAAAAAAAATTTTAAAACACATTTTTGTCTTTCTTTATTTTGCGCTTAAAAATATGTATTTGGAATTAGAGCGAAGGTTTCTCATTTTTTTGTAGTGAGTAAGGGATTAGGAATATAGTAGAACTTACTTGTATACAAGAATTAAGAGGAGTTTACCCATATGGAATTAAAGAAAGCTTTGAGTTGATTCTTTTTGTGTTTAAATATCAATGGCTCCTCTCGTTGTTGTGCTG